GAGTAAACTACATGATGCACTATTTTTCCCTTGGCGTAGGTTTTATCCAAATGTGTTTTCTTGGCAAGATTTTTAATTAGGCAGCAAATAAAGCGTATAGCAAGATATGTGTACTCTATTCTCCTTCGCTAATATTTTTCCCATAGGGTTTTTTTAGTAAGGTTTTAACGAGGCATATTATTTATCAATGGTCATCCAAGGAGGAGTATTGTAAATCATTTTGGTGGTAAAATGGATGACCATAACTCCTAGGTTAAATGCATCCTTTATTGGTAGTAATGTTATTGATAATGTGATCAAATGGATGAGCATAACTCGTAGCTTTATTTCCTCCAAATGGATAGTAATTCTCAAGGTTTAATGTAATTTCTGTGACACTCTTTGATATTCCTCAATGTAATCCTATAAATAGTTGTGTTGATAATAATGTTAATACACTTGAAAGGAAGAAAGTTAGCTTATATTGTTCTTCTATTGTCTTATATTCTTGTTCTCTTCATCTTGTCATTGTTCCTTTGTTCATAAGTTTTATAACAATACAATTTATTAGCGCATATGTTGTCTAATTACATATAAAAATATTAGTGTATATAAACACCTTTTATATACTATTATACATATATATACAATTGTATTCATTTGTATAGTTATTGTATAATGTTGTACACGTTCAAAAAAAATACGATTGTAGTTTTAAAATATGGTCTATGTAGCGTAGTTATTTTATTAGATTTTATTTTTGAAAACATTGATTTTTATAACTATATTACTTTATCATAATATATTTGAAATCTTAAATGGTTAAATACTTTCGTTTGTGCTTTTATTTTGAAGATTATTTTACAGAATTTTAAAGTTTAATAGAAATGCATGAAATATTTTACATATTTGTGAAGTCTAAGTTTTTAATTCGATGGTATCTCTGTATAGTTGCTATATGTACGTGGAATCACTACTAAAATGTACGATTTTTAGATAGAAGCAAATACACCGACTTAGTCTGTACATTTTAAAAATCACAAAATCGAAATTAACACCAAGACTTTATAAATTATATTTCTATTTTCTTTATTGATAAAAGTGTATAAAATAAAAAATGAAAGGTTTTAAACCAACAAATATCTATGATGTAGTGGTAGAGTAGTGCCCAGTCATGGTACTTACACTCTGTATTGTATTATTTAAATGATGCATTTTGTGATTGCGTAATTCAAGAAAATTGATGAGTTTAATTTTTTTTTATTTTATAAAATTTACCAAATTCTTTGGTTTTGATTTTTTCCCTCGCCAATTAAAGAATGAATTCTGTCTATTTCTTTTGAAACACTTATTTGATTCTTTCTATCAGTTGTCACTTGTAATTATGTAGAGAAAATGTCATAAATGGTCCTTTAAATATTGTAGTAAGTCTAAAATAGTTTTATAACTACACATTTACAGGATGTAGTCCTTAACTATCCTAATATTTTATCAAGGTTGGTATTTTTACTAAACAATTATATTGTAAAATTTATCAGGCTTGGTCTGTGCCTATTTTTTTTATAAAAATAACTAATGGTTATATTAATGAAATTCATGCACTCGTGAAATGAAATGTTTAACCCATTAAATGTCACAAATTAGATACATCATTAGTGACGGAATAATGTGTCACTACTAACTTTAGATTTGTTACTAACAATATTCAAAAAATGGCGCCAATATATTTTTTGGTGGGAAATTTTATACAAAATTTTGCTACGAATTTTTATGTTCCATCACTAAAACATATATCTCATATATTTAAACACGAATAGTACTTTATTCACTAAAACTGAACAATTAGTGATTAATTGCATGTCGTAGCTATAATTTCGTAGCTATATATATTATATTTGTTGTAGTTGTATTTTTCATTTTCAAGCACCAGAAGAATACAATTTGATACAACTTTTTAATGATATTTTTTGGAATTTCATGATTGGAGAATTTTATTTTTTTTTAAAAAAAAAAGGGTGGCTAGGAGGTAATATCAAGCATTATTTTTCAAGTAAAAATGACAAAATAAAATTAAAGGAGGTAATCTTGTAGACAAGGGTTCCCAAATTATATTTGTAATGTTATAACAAAAATATCATAGAATCTATTTATAAAAATAAAAAGACAATAAATATAAGTAATTATGGAGAAACAAAATTTCATTTCGCTATCACTGAAATAATATTAAAAATAAATAAATTTATTTCATTTATCAAAAAGTAAATCATTGATTTAAAAATTATTGTAACATAACAACATATAATATATATAGATTATATAATCACAACGACTAAAAGCCTCTGAAAGTTTCTAAAATTAAGGCTTGTACCCAGATAGTTCTAAAATTACTATTTTGGACCCATTTGCCTCTTCTTTTTTTTACTATAAAGTTATTTATTGATGCTAAAATCATTCGTAGCACTAAATTCACCAACCAAATATGCATAGTTATCAACAACTACAAACCCTAACTTTTGTGAAATTTTCGTATTGCTGCCCTTTGAAATTTTCACTCAGGTCCCCTTAAATAGTTCTTCATTTGTTTCAATCTCAATATCTTCTTTGAATTTTTCCTTAATTCCCTTTACTGGATTCGAGTTTCCAATAACACACATTGATGACTTCTGCTTAGATCCATCACCGGTAAAAAAATTTATTCAATATTTACGTCAGATTATGGCAATTTGATCCCCTTTTTATCCCAAAATGTGACAACTGATCCAAATATGTTATGCCAGAACGTGGAAACTGATCCACAAACACACCACAATCACATTCACATGTATATTCTGAATAAGCATATAGTCAAGAAGTGATTCATGACATATAGTTGTTCATCTATCTCACTTACAACAAGTGTAATCAACAATGCAACATTATCATACATACATGTATCATAACAAAGACATAACAAGAATACATCATACAATCATAAAATCACAACCTTCAGCTACTTTGAAACAAACTTGAAACCCTAAGAATTATGATTCTTCCCTTCATGGATTCGTTCAGCTTGTTGTTGATCTACAAACAATCAATACAATATGAAAATAAATAAACATTCACTAATTACCCAAATTTCTAACAATTCTACGAACCCTCAGTCATACCCATGATCCCAATTCTCTAAAATAGGGTGTCTCCACCATAGAACGTAGATCAAAACCCTTCTCCATCATTAATTCCCATTCTATTGTGTTCTATGGATCGAAAAACATATTCGATGAATGAAAAACTTACCTTTTACCTCAAGAATAGTGAAAAACAAGTAGGATTCGCCCTGGGTTCATTCCTTAGCTCAAAAGTTTAAAAGTGCATAATAATGTCGTTTAGGGGTTAATTAGCAACCTTAAATCGCATCGAACCTGCAACAAGAATCCTTATCCCGCTGTAGCGGGCCCGCCATAGCGCAGAAAATCCCCGCCAGGGTCGGTTACAAGAGACACTGAACTAATTTAACAATCTTGAGACCCCTATTTCACAACCCACCTCTAACCAACGACACTCAAAAAATACCTTCCACAACAAGATCAATTTCGAAAGTTCTACTCACTCGAATTCAATTTCGTAAAGTCATATAGAATCCTTAACAAGTTATATATCCCCTTATGAAATTAAAATTATAAATAAATCACCCAATTGTTGCCAGATTTAGCTCACCTTAATGACTCCAATTTCGCCCAAAACAATCTGGACTATGTTGAAAAATTTCAAGTTACTAAAAAAAAATTCGACCCAAAAATACCTAGTTGACTTTTCTATAACGACGAAACCTGATTGTTACAAGTTAATCTCTGACTTAAAGGAAAAGCAATATTGTAAAATGATCAATCAAGATTTTCTATTATAATAAAGTTCTATTATATAGTCAAAAATGTGTCTACTGCTTAGAATTGCTTGAAAATGATTGTTATTTCATGCAAAATGCTAGAAAAATTGTCCTTTCTATATGAGAATTTTATACTCATGTATATTATAATGTGATTATTTTAACACTGGTTAAACCAATAACTAAACAGTTAGGTATCGAAATTCGATAAGAAATGTCTTAGTGCACTACATCAAATTTGATTATTACCGACAAATAATTTTGTCACTAGAAACTCACATTTCATCACCAAAAGAATTTTGGGACAAAAAATAATTTGTCAGTCATTCATCCCTAAAGCATGGTCACTAAATATATATAGAGACAATGTAATGTTTCGTCACTAAATAGAGATGTAATAACTACGAAAATGTTTTTTGTCCCTAAATGCTTTGAATTTATGACAAATTTATTCGTCATAAAAGTTATTAAAATTTGTAGGTAAAGATACATTTTTGTCACTAAATAAGTTATCATAGCCGACGAAAATGATGTGTCACTAACTATATTGTTTAATTAGTGAAGATGTAATTTGTCTCAAATATTTTATGTATTTCGTAGTCAAACAAATAATATTTCGTCACTAAAAACAATTTTTTACATACAATTTTTTCGTTGTCCCTAAAGGTAAAAATTAGTGAAAACTTTATATTTAAATAATTTTGTAGTTGAAACAATCATGTCGTCCTAAAAATGATTCTTTTACCGAAAAAATAAAATTGTCGCTAAAAAATATCATAAATAAGTAGGCAATTTTGGAACAAAAGATGTTTTTGTCATAGAATGTCATACTTTAATGACGAAAATGTTATCGTCTTAAAAAAATAATGTATTGATGATCACTATAAAAAGTGAGCTTTTGAAGATAAAATGTTTTGTCACTAATGTTATTTAAACTTGTAACGATACTATATACAATTCGTATTAAGCTAGGTCTCTGTAAATTTAGAAATTTATTAAGAAAATTAAAATTATTAAATAATGCAAATATTAAACTTAATAGTATGGAGTAAATTTTTTCAATAATGAGCATCATACACTATAAAAATTAAAATTAACAACAAACTAAAAGAAGCAAAATAATAATAAAAAGAATTGCACTGTTATTTATTAATTAAGAACATCTAAAATGACATTCATAGATAATAATAAAAAATATTACAATGTCATATATTAATTACGAACATCTAAAATGAGATTAAGGATATAATATCTCAACGCTCCCCTTAAGAAAAAATATATTAAGTAAAATTTCTCCAACTTGAAAGTCTAACTAAGATATACTAAATGTTAACAAAACTGAGGCAGTAAAATAGAGGTTGCTTCTCACAATACCATTGCAAAAACACTTCACTAGCCTCTAGTCTCGATATCCACCTTCCACAACCTGTCTAAAAGAAATAAAAATGATTTCATATGTTATGATATCATTATATACAAAAACATATCCAAGTTTAATCTCACAAATGAAATATGAGGGATCGAATGTAGAAAGACATTACCTCTACACCGTTGTAGGATAGACAAGTTGCTTTCAATAGACATTGACTCAAAAGAAATGTAACTAACGCAAGAAAGTAAGAAAGAAAAAAGAGACAACAAGAATCGTCATGTCTCGTTCTAAACAACCAACAAGAAGAAAACTTCACTCCTTAAGCTGTAGTTAGACATCACAAACACCATCACTAACTTATTAACCTCTCACCCTAGAAACTTCAAAAGAAATAAAAACTATTAGAGTAAAGAGACTGACCTCCAGTGCAATAGATTTTGATAATTTAAGGCTTGCAGGAGTATAAGCAACTTTATACAAGTAAAGTAGACTCTCTGATTATCAAGACCTAACAACTACAGAAAATAATGCAGTAAATTTTATTCCCACAAGAAATGCAAACTGATTGTTCCCAGAAAATTTACAAGATTATAAATCTACAAGTGATAAGAATAGTTGAAAACTCGGTATGATCACTTCGACTAACAATAGACAAACCATCTAGATTTAAGTTTTGTTACAAAAATAACAATTGAAAAGGATATTTTAATAAAGGAAGATACATCTAAGTGCATGAAAACTTGTGCTTACAAAAGAACTCTTCCTTTGCTACCCAGGTGTGAACTTCTCAGTAACTTCAGTTCAAAAACTGTTAAGCCATAAAATCATAAATTTACTACATGAGATTAGTGATATACTATCAAGACACTAAAATAATCTGTTAATTATAAGAATCCTTAAATAAAGTAATTAGCCAATTTTGATCCATTTCTTGTCCAAAAAAATTGTACATAAAAGACTAAAACACAAGTCTCTCACTACCTTTTATTAATATAGGAGGCTTACTTCTGAAACAACCCGAAGATTCCAATTTTAATATTACAGGTTCACAGTTGTCCAGATGATTTACATTGTTAAAAACACCCAACATTATTATGAAATGGGTAGCACAACACATTACATAATAATCTCACTTAAAGTTGTCCAGATGATTCACATTGTTCTAAAGATAATTCTCAAAAATAAGTTGACACACATATGGATCAAGAAGACATACCTGGATGCTTTCCACATAACGTCCAATGTGTTCGAGCTTTCCAACATGTATAGATAATAAATGTCAAACTACGATGGAAACTTTAACCAGTTATGAATATTTAATCCAGAAACATAATGCGTGGTTTTTCAATGCTTTTCTCGAAAGGAGACGAGCTCATGAGATTTCCAGTTATCAATGATTGTATAGAAAGAAGGAAAGTTTGACAGACTACCTCTTTTCTTTTGGAGAGAAAGAGAGTTTGAGGGGATATTTTTTTCCAGTGATCAGTCATGAGAAAAGAATGAAATGAAGTTCTTACTATATAATCAAGAGGGCTGATTATTTAATCACTAACTTAATGGAAAAGAAATATTGGACTGTTTGGGGTTAGGACCTTAGACTCATCGGGAAAAGTTACAAATTACTCATTCCGAGTTGTAGAGTAAATATCTGGCCAGCATACGAGATTTTGAGTTCTCCGAGTATATGCAACAATACCAGCAGAACTGCATTGAGGAGAAACTTCATTGGTATTCCTATCTCAATTGATGAGACAAACTAACCAATCATTAGAAGATTTTCCAGTATCTTTATTTTTAGACATTGTCTGAGGAAGATCAAGAATTGGGATTTTGGTGATTCCATTTGTTGCAATTTTCATAGATATAGTTGGTCCATCTAGAATTACTCCCTATAGATCAGGGTTTTCGCCAATAAGATGATCCATCATACAATTTTTCCACCATCCATAATATTTTCCATTAAACAGTGGTGGTCGTGTTTGTGAAGCTCCCTCTTGTAGGGTAGGTGGTGCTGTCATTGAGTCTTTTCAAGATGTCAAAACCATATGGGAAACACTACAAACTGCTCATGAAGGAACAACGCAAGTCAAGAAGTACAAAATTTATAACTTGAACAGACAATATGAACTGTTCAGGATGGCAGAAGGGGAGACCATACAAGACATGCCTACCAGGTTCACTTCAATCATCAATGAGATGTACTTCTTGGGAGAGATAGTTCCTAATGGAAAGGCAGTAAAGAAACTCTTGAGTGTCCTTCCTGAAACTTGGGAAAGCAAAGTCGAGGCTATCACTGAAGCCCGCGACCTAGATTCACTGGCCATGGATGAGTTAATTGGTAATCTCATCACATACGAACTCAAGAAAAACCAAGAAAAGGAAATTGGAGGAAAAAGGAAGATAAGGAACCTGGTTCTAAAGGCTATTGCATCAGATGATTTTGAGGAAGAAAATATTACCCTTATAACCAAAAGGTTCACCAGAATGCTAAAAAAAGGACAAGCCTTTCAAAAGAAAACTCCTCAAAAATCAAATGAAAACACTAAAGACCAGGTTTGTCATAAGTGTGGAAGCCCAGATTACTGCATCAAATTCTGCCCACTTTGGGCTTTAGAGAAGAAAAAGACAAACTCTGAGAAGGGCAAAGACATCAAGAAAGATAAGTTTGTTCCCTCAAATAGAAGAATGACAACCTAAGAGGCAGATATCTCAATGAAAAGGGCCTTTGCAGCAATGGGGAATTTATCTGATGAAGAATCTGAGGATGATGAGACAAAAAACAAATCCCTTCTTGCACTAGAACAAGAAGATGATTATAACTTTCTTGCTCTTGTAGCAGTGGAAACCAAGGAAGAAAAGGAAACCTGCAGATCACAAGAAACCATATTAGCACTCATGGCTGGATCAAATTCTGAAGAGGACAAAGAAGAAGAAGATATGAATGAAAAGGTTAGTCTTCATCACATACAAGACAATCTAAACTCATACTAAAAAAGGGAGCTAGAATCTTTACTCTACACTCTCATTGATGCATATAAAACCATAGACTCAAAAAGGGAATTGATAATGGAAGACTATGCATCACTAAGAGAAGAAAACAAGAATCTTGAAAAACAAAATCATCTTTTATCCAAGAACACTGAGCTAAGTAAAAACCTAGACTTGGTAACTAAAAGGAATGAAACACTAACCAAAGAGCTTCTTGTGACTAAAACTGAAGCTGAAAATGGAATGAGATGAACCATGTCCTCCATATTGCTTGCCATCATTCACAAGAATCGTACATCTAAGAGACATGGGATAGGTTTTGATAGAACTAGCTCTCAAGTAAAAAAATCCCAATATAGATTGTCTATGCATGCACTGTGGGCTGGTAGGGCATAAAAGTTATGATTGTCAAAGAAAAAAAACTGCTCATAACAAAAATTTGAAATCTTTGAGAAAACCTCATCGTGAGAAAACCTCATCATGAGAAAACCAATGAGCAAAAACAAATCCCTAAAGTCAAACCTCTTCCCAGATGGTCCAGAAAAAATCTTATTCATCCATTCTCTAAGCATAAATCAAAGTGGATTTGGGTACCAAAATCTAACCCCCGAAATTAAACTGTAGGGATCAGTGAGAAGGAAGCAACAATAATGGTACTTGGATAGTGCATGTTCCAGAAACATGACTGGAGATAAAAGAAGCTTTCTCTCACTTAAAAACATCAAAGGAGGAAACGTTGCCTTTGGCAATGGAAAAAGTGGGGAAATTCAGGGAATTGAAAAGATTGGGTCTATCGATACTCATGCAATTGAGAACGTATACTGTGTGAATGGCCTACAACATAATCTATTGAGCGTATCTCAAATATGTGATAAAGGAAACAATGTTCTCTTTACAGAAAAAGAATGCAGAGTAACAAACTCAGTGACTGGGAACCTGGTTCAACTAGGTAAGAGACACAAGAATGTGTACAAAGCCAAGATTGTTGACTCTAAGGAAGATACTCTTAAATGTCTAAGTGCAGTCTCTGATTGCTCCATGCTCTGGCACAAAAGAATGGGACACAATAGCATGACAACAATAAATAAACTCATATCTATAGACCTAGCTAGGGGACTGCCAACCAAAAGTTTCAGGGAAAACCAAGTATGTGGAACCTGCATTCAAAGAAAATAGGTTAGATCATCCTTTAAATCAAAGTTGACAGTGAGTACTACCAAGCCACTAGAACTGCTCCACATGGATTTGTGTGGACCAATGCGTATACAAAGCAGAGGTGGGAAAAGATATGGGTTTGTAATAGTTGATGACTATTCAAGATTCACTTGGACATTGTTCCTTGCAACAAAGGATGAAACATTCACTATGTTTGAAATCTTTACAAAGCTGGTTCAGAAAAAATTCAACAAAGAAATAATTAGCATCAGATCTGATCATGGGCTAGAGTTTGAGAACTCACAATTCCTACAATTTTGCACTACAAATGGGATTGAGCATAACTTTTCAGCACCTAGAACAGCACAACAAAATGGTGTAGTTGAGAGGAAAAATAGAACACTTGAAGATATTGCAAGAACAATGTTAATCTCAAGCAAACTTCCAAAATTCTATTGGGCTGAAGCAGTAAACACAGGATACTATCTAATAAACAGATGTATGATTAGATAAGTGTTAAACAAAACACCATATGAGGTGCTAAAAGGAAGAAAACCAAATTTAGCACATCTTAGGACCTTTGGGTGTGTATGCTTTATACACAACAATGACAAGGACAATTTGGGAAATTTTGATGCCAAGAGTGATGAAGGAATTTTTTTGGGCTATCGTCACAAAGCAAAGCCTATAAGGTACTGAATAAAAGAAGAAAGTGTTCATGTTGTCTTTAATGAAAATAACAGTGAAGTTGAAGGAAATTCAGAGGATGAACAGAATGAGGGAACCTGCTCCAAGCCATCAGAACCAAAAATACGGGAAGAAGAATCCATACTCTCTCATAAAACATCTGAAATAGGAGATAAGTCTACTAATGAAACTGGTTCTTCTGCATCTCAAGAGCCAGTAAGCATCCAAACCCACAGTTGGAAACATCAAAGCTCTGATCCTTTACAAAACATTCTTACTCCACTTAACTCAGGCATCTCTACAAGATCCAAATTACGTAGCATGTGTGCCTTCTCTGCCTATGTATCTCTGATTGACATAAAAAATATAAAGGAAGCACTACTAGACTCTAATTGGATTAGTGCTACGCAAGAACTTAATCAGTTTGAAAGAAGCAGAGTATAAAACCTAGTTCCAAAACCTCAAAACAGGACGGTAATAGGAACAAGGTGGGTGTTTAGAAATAAGCTCGATGAGCAAGGTCAAACAGTACGAAACAAAGCTAGGCTAGTTGTACAGGGATATAACCAAGAAGAAGGATAGACTATGATGAAATCTTTGCACCTGTAGCAAGAATTGAGGCAATCAGAATATTGATTGCATATGCTGCTCACATGGGATTTAAACTCTATCAAATGGATGTCAAAAGTGCATTCTTAGACGGTTATCTGCAAGAAGAGGTGTATGTGAAATAACCCCCAGGTTTTGAGAATACCAAGTATCCTGATCATGTATACAAACTAGACAAAGCACTCTATGGGCTAAAACAAGCACCTAGAGCATGGTATGATCGATTGTCCACCTTTCTTCTCACACATGGATACACAAGAGGAAAAATTGATAATACACTATTTCTTCGAAAACAAGGTGAAGATCTGTTCATAGTCCAAGTATATGTAGATGATATCATATTTGGAGGAACTAATGATTTACTTGGAGTAGAATTTGCTCAACTAATGAATAGTGAATTTGAGATGAGTATGATGGGAGAGATAAACTTCTTTTTAGGACTCCAAATTAAACAAACTCCAGTTGGAACATCAATTCATTAACAAAAGTACATCAAGGAATTACTGAAGAAGTATGAAATGAATGAAGCTAAGTCAAATGACACACTCATTGGGACAAGAACAAAGCTTGAAAAAGATGAACCAGGTTCACCAGTAAATGACACTAGATATAGAGGTATGATTGGATTACTCCTATATCTTACTGCCAGTAGACCTGATATAGTGTTCATTGTTGGTCTATGTGCACGGTTTCAGTCCTGTCCTAAGGAATCACATCTAAAAGCTGTCAAAAGAATCTTGAGATATTTAAAAGGCACAATGAACCTGGTTCTCTGGTATCCAACTGGTGACTCTTTTGATCTAAAAGGATTTGCTGACGCAGATTATGCAGGACACATGGTAGATAGAAAAAGTACCTCTGAGATGGCACACTTTTTAGGACCATGTCTAATATCTTGGGCAACTAGAAAACAAAATTCAGTTACTTTATCTACTGCTGAGGCTGAGTATGTAGCAGCTGCTTCATGTTGTGCCCAACTTCTTTGGATAAAATAGCAGCTTAAAGATTTTGGCATAAAAACAGGTTGTATTCCTATTCTATGTGACGATACAAGTGCTACGAACATGGCTAAAAACCCAGTTCAACACAAACGCACCAAACACATAGATGTTAGACATCACTTCCTTCGTGATAATGTTGAAAAAGGAAACATAGTGATGAAGTTTCTGCAAAACTGAGGATCAAGTTGCGATATTTTTCACCAAGGCACTAGGAAGAGAATCATTTCAGAAAAATAGACTTGAGTTACGGATCATCTTTTTAGATTGATTTTTGTCCAACCAAGTTATAAGGATATAAGAACCAGGTCCAGTCTAATTGGTTCTACAACTGCTTTACACTAAGCAAGGAAAATTAGCAGTCAAAAATTTAAAAAAAAAAAAGGAAAACAATTTCTTCTTCTCTCTTCGATGTCATGTCTACGAAAAGCAGGTGCAACCGTCAAAGCACACGTCTCTTCGATGTAAATTCCCCATAATTACTAAAACTCCTTGAATACGACATCAAAACCGTTTTCCAATAAAGCACTTTCTCCAAACAATTAACCAACTCTTTCTTCTTCTCCATTTTTCAAAAAAATCCTCTCCATCACCATGGTTAATCCACTCGTTGCTTACTCAGATGACAAAAATTCATCTGACAGTGCATCTTCTCTGGGGGAAGAGAACCCCGTCATTGATACTATACTTAATCAAGGGGAAGAAAACCAACTCACAACCAAACCATTCTACATCCTCACCCAAATCAGATCCGTCTACATCTCCACCACCAACAGTCACAGAAACAACTCCACCATCACCAGTTAAAGAAACATCTCCACCACCAGTTGCAGAGTCTCCACTACCACCCATCATAGAATCACCATCACTACCAGCCAAAGAAACCCCATTACCACCAAACCCAGAAACACCCATAACCACTATCCCAAAAAACCCCTCTTCTTCCCCAACTCACAAAACCACTCCTCAAAATCCACCACCATCTCCACATTCTCTAAACAATGACGACATCCTTCTGAGCACACGTCACCCTAAAAAACCAAGACGGCCAAGAAAACACATTGCAGTCAAACAGGTTCATCCACACAGGCCAGTAACTCAGAGTGCAAATGTAGTCAAACCAACTGATGGTGCAACATCTAGTGTGAAGCGTCGTCGTCTGGGTAAGTCTCCTGTTCACTCATCTATTTCTCCAATGATTCTTGATTTTGAAACTGATGATGTCTCTGAGGGTAAACATTCTGAAACCCCTCAGTCAAAGTCAAAATCTGCAAAAAGAAATGTGGATAAATTTCTCAAAGTTGAAAAGAAAAAATATTTTAAAACCAAAACAACGCTTAGGGGTAGAACTTTTCATCCTGATATTCTATCAATGGACATAGTCAAGCAGGTTTATGAGTTACTAAGGTTTCAGGGGTGGGAGGAGT